TGGGCCACCTGAGTGCCCTGGGGCTGCTCCCTGAAGGGAAAGGGCCAGGGCTGCTGCGGGGCTCCCCCTGGACCATTAGCAGGTCTTTCTACCCACCAGAGTCCAGGGCAGAAATGGTGAGGGCCCAGAGAGCCTCCAGCAAAGTCCCATGACCTGGGGACTTGGGGGAGAGCTGGAAGTGGGGGAAGGAGGGTGCCTCTTCTGCCAGCTCACCAGGCCAGGTACTCAACCACCTGGCACCTCCCACAGCCCTCCTCAGAAAGGAGGCACCACAGCAGGATGGACTCTAAACAGCTTCCATAGTGACCATCCCCACAGGCCAGGCTCTGTGTCCAGCACTGACTCACCTCCCCTCACTCCTCCCACCCCGGGGCTCACCTCCACTGGGAGGTGGGATGAGGAAGGTGGAGGCTGGTGGCGCCATTCGGGGAGAAGTGAAAGACAGAAAGAAAAGAACAAGACGCACAAATGTGCATGGGAATGTTCTGGAAGAACATTCTGGAAGAAACTGCACAGGGTTTCCTCCAGGAGCACCAACGGGGACCTTGTGGGTGTAATCGGCTGCAGCCCGGCCTGGGGCTCACCAGCACACCCGGCCCGCATCCAGTGCGATGTGCGGGCAGATCCCCGGGTGCAGACCCAGAGCCCGGGGTCAGCGGGCCGCCTGCCCCCAAACTCACTTTCGGAAGCAGTGCGCGGCCGAGAGCACCCAGCGGCGGTTGAGCAGGCTCCCTCCGCAGTGGTGGCTGCCCCAGACGCGCAGGCTGGCCTGCCACGGCCAGCGCCCCAGCTCCGCGTCCTTTCCGCCCACTATCCGTGGCTGGATGCTCTGTTTGCCGCAAGGCCCTGGGATGGACAGACGGACACGGGGCTGAGCTGCAGAAGGCGGGTCCACCTTGCCCACCCTCAGCCACCGGGGTGCGCGAAGGGAACGGACTCCCTGGGGAACCGCGTGTCCTGGGCTCGCGCAGCAGAGGAAGACAGGGACGCCGGGGACCCGCCCCACGTGGGCCGCAGGTGCCCGCCCCTCCCCCAGGGGCCCATCAGTTACATGTGAGCAACGACGAGTTCTGGAAACCTGAGGCGGGGGAGAGAGGAAAAGATGAGGCGCCCTTCAAGCTCCGGTCCAGGTGCCCTGAACAGAGAAGCGCGCCTCCTGGAGGCCTTACCTGGAAGCAGCAGTTCCTCATCCTGCAACGCTGGGTGGGGAAAGTGGGGGTAAGAGAGAAGGTGAGCTCCCTTCGGTCTCCACGCGCCCCGTCCTCCCCCATCACCCCTAGTTGCGCCGGCAGCCCCCGCCTGAGCTCACCCTGCCTCCCGACTTCAATCTGCACCAACAGCTGCGCCAGCAGCAGCGCCCCGACCCGCGCGTCCATGGCCTCTTCTCTCGCCGCTTAGCGCCCCCTCTGCTTCCGCCTGCTCCGGTGCCGGGCTGGGGCGCCCCCTGGGGGAGAGGGAGCCACGGGAACCCTGGCCCTCGCCTTACCCCAGGTTGACCTGTCTGGTTCAAGGGCTGTTGGGGAACGTGGGACCTCACATGCCCCAGCTTTGAGCTTCTGCTGGGGCTGGGTCCCCTAGCTACATATCAGGAACCAGAGCACCCAAACAATCCCTGTAACGCTGGGGTCCTGGCTACCCTCTCTGCTGCCCTCTTTTCTACCCACTCCTTCCTTCAGGAAGGACCAAGGACCTGGCTCACAGACAGGACTCCCATGACAGCA